TCGAACAGATAGACCAGCTGAGGAGGACGAGGAGGAGGAGGAGGAAAAGGAGGAGGAGAAAAGAGGAGGAGGAGGAGGAGCACCAGTGCAAACCCAAGAAGCATCAACGATGTTGTCACAAACTCTCCCTCCTGAGTCCCTCTTCACAAAGCCCAACAATAATATATTTTCACTGCGGGAAGCCCCCCCAACTGGAAGACAACCGCTTGAGAATCCTAAATCATGCCAGAACACCATTCCTGGAACTTCGGTGCCGCGAATCAGCGTGACTGTTGCATCTTGACAACCCGCAGTCCCGCCATAACACCCTTGCTAAAGCTTCAATGCCGCGAATACACGTGTCAATTGCGTCCAGACAGTCCTAAATCTTGGGGACTCAACCATGCGAGCCCTTGAAGCTTCTGCCCAACTTCGAGGCGAATGCGCGCGGCACTGAGTCGAGAACCACATTTGAAAAAGAGCCGACCTTCACATTCGAAACTACTGCAAACATGTAAGACACATGCGCACAACGCTAAGGCGGGAGACGCATGTTGAAAATCCGCGAGCCCTTAATCCTTGAAATTGCTGCAAGTTTGTAACACGAATGTGCGCGGTGCTGAAGCGAGGGCCACATCTTGAAAGGGATCCGCCCTCCACCGGTGAAACTCGTGCAAACTTTTAGGCCGAATGTGCGTGGCGCTCAGGCGTGAGCCACTTTTTGAAAACGACCCGCCGCACATCCTTGAAGCTGCTGCAAATTTTCACGACGAGCGTGCGTGGCGCCGGGGCGAGAGCCACATTTTGACAAGGATCAGCCATTCAGCTTCGGAGCCGTTGCAAACGTCAACCTTCGCAACGCCCAGCCAGCCCTGCCGACACGTCTGCGGGCTTGGCAGGGAAGAGTTATATATACATAAGGAGGAGGGAAGGAAGAGGAAGAGGAGGAGGAGGCGGAGGAAGAGGAGGAGGAGGAGGAGACCCAGACATCTGGCTGCTCAATTTTTTTCGATGCGTGAGCCTCGGAAATCTGGGCCACTTCCCCAGGGCAAGCTTTTCGTCCTGAATCGGTTCCTGACGCTCCTGACGCCCGGCGAGGGCCCCCAGAGGCCGAACATGGCCCCAAACCGCCTGCTCCCCTTTTTGGGGAGCGTTGGACCCCGACCCTGGACGTCATGATTTGTTCAGCACGTCGTCCCTGGAGGCTTGCCCCCGGAAGCCGAACATACAGAAAACAACAACAAAAACCGTATACTGCTTTTTTCCATTGCCCGATGGGGTTTGGGGACCTCGGGGCAGGGGGAAGAGGAAGGAACGTCCCAGACATCCGCCTGCTCAATTTTTTTGGCGCGTGGACCCAGGAGGTCTGGACCAATTCCCCGGGACCGGTTTTTCGTCCTGGATCGTTTTCTGCCGCTCCCGAGGCCAGGCGAGGGCCCCCTGCTCCAATTTTGTCGGAGCGCTGGATCTCAAGGGGTCGCACTTCGACCACACAAAAAAAACAGCCTGCCGGGCCTCCTCCGGGCGTCGCCGCCCCCGCCCGCGGGCGCCCCGGGCTCCTCGGCAGGCGCCGCCCCCGCGCCGAGGCTGGCGGGCAGAAAAATCTCGAGCCGCGGAGCGCGGGGGGGGGGGCGGGGGAGCACGGGAGGGGCCCTGCTTAATGCGAGCGAGGAGGAGGAGGCGGAGGAGGAAGAGGAGGAGGAGGAGGAGGAGAAAAGAGGAGGAGGAGGAGGAGGAGAAAAGAGGAGGAGGAGGAGAGGAGGAGGAGGAGGAGGAGGAGGAGAAAAGAGGAGGAGGAGGAGGAGGAGGAGAAGGAGGAGGAGCAGGAGGAGGAGGGGCAAGCGAGCAGAAGCCGAGAGGCGGCTGGTTCGGGAGAAGGCTAACAGTCCCAGCACACCCGTCCCAGCCGCTGTTTACCCCGAAGCCCGAGGGCGGAGATGGAGGCAGACAGCTGGCCAGGATGGGGAGCCAAGACCGAACGCGCGCAGCGCGGCGGCCTCGGCGGCCAGAGCAAGACGGGCCTGGAAGGGCAGGCTCACCAGCGCGCCTGCCCTTGGAGACGACGCCGAAGAAGATCGCGTCGTGCAGGTAAAACGCGTCGCGAACGGCCGTGACCGTCACTTCCAGAGCTCATCGTCGGACTCTGGGTCGGTGGTGGTGCAATAAGCCACCAGTTCGTCGTGTGAAAGCCCGAAGTCACGCAGCATGGAACCAGTGTCCAGCAATCTCGATGCCTCCACTCGTCCACGCTTACTCCTGAGCACATGTAAATCCACTCCAGCTGCAGGGTCCGACCAGTGCTTGGCCCTGCACAAGAAACTGCGCGAGGTAGCAGACGGGCTCCTCGCCTCCTCCAGCCTCACGTGGCTGTTGCATGCCTGCAGGTGCCGCAGGTTCGAGAAGTGTCTGGTGTTCTCCGCGATGCGTCCAGATCCTCTCGCTTTGCCTGTGCACGTCATATCCAGTCCGTGGTCGTTCACGCTTCCAGAGTCAACATACTTGCAGCAGGACGAACAACACAGCAACACCTCATAACTGCCAAACATACAGAACTCTAAAATAGAATGGCCATGAATGTGTCACGGCCACGGGCTCAGAACGTCCGCGGCCGCAGCTTCCTCCTCTCTCGTCACTGAAGCATCTTCCCCAGGCAAGAGGAGGAAGAGGAGGAAGAGGAGGAGGAGGAGGAACAAACACATTTTCTCGTCCCGCCGAACGCTAAAGCACATCGGCTTGAGTTCGCGCAGCGTCAAAGAAAAGAGGGGAAGGGAGGGAGGGAGGAGGGAGCGAGGGAGGGAGAGAGCAGGGATGAGGACGAGGATGAGGATGAGGATGAGGATGATGATGAGGAGGAGGGGGAGGAGGAAGAGGACGACGAGGACGAGGAAGAGGAGGAGAACCAGTGCAAAACCAAGCCGCATTAATGATGTTGCGATAAGCCCTCCCTCCAAGTTCCCTCTTTAGAAGACCCTACAAGAATGATTGTCATTGCGGGACGTGTCCCATTGGAAGGAAACCGATTGACAAAAGACGCCAGTCCTGAGACTTCAGCGCCGCGAAGCAAAATGAGTGTTGCGTCTGGACAATGGGAAATCGAGCCAGAACAGAATTACTTGGACTTCAGCACCGCGAATCAACGTGACTGTTGCGTCCCGACGCGCCGAAGTCTTACCATGTTACGGTTCCTGGGGCTCCAACCATACGAATACTTGAAACTGCTGCAAGCTTTCAAGACGAACGCGCGCGGCGCTGTGGGAAGAACCGGGTTTTGAAAAGGGTCTGCCCTCCAGCTCTGACGTGCTCCAAACTGTTTAAACGAATGTACGCAACGCTCGGGCGAGAACGGCATTTTCAAATTGACCCAGCCTCCACCCGTGAACCTGCTACACACGTTTAATACGAATGTGCGCGGCCCTGAAGCGAGAACCACATTGTGAACACGAACCGCCCTCGATTCGTGAAGACGGCGAATGCAACATGTTGAGCACAATACACAGTCCATCCGTAAAACTTCTGCAACTTGCAAGCTTCGGAATCATACGTGGTGGGGAAGTCTCAGGCGAAACTCCCGCCCGGCGATCTAACGACTCGTCAGGGGGTGCAACAAGGATGAGTTCCTGATAAGGAGAAAGGATGGAGAAAGAAAAGTGGAGGAGGGGGAGGAGGAGGACGACGAGGAGGAGGAGAGGAGGAGGACGAGGAGAAAGAGGGGGCACGACGATGAGGATGGAGTAGGAAACGGGAGGAAGCAAACACGCGTGCGGCCGACTTTTGCAACCAGGAGCGGGGGCAAGGACCAACATCGGGCACAGCTCGTCACCAGCACTCCGAAAATCTGGGAACTCCGAACATCAGATGTGACAGCAGCCTGGGCAGAACGCTACATCGCATCCCAAGCACCTGGAGAGGGGCTTCCCCGTGTTCGGGCGCCTGTCAGCTTTCATGGCCGTGGCGGCAGAACGCTGCTTCGTGCGTGTCATTCGGGGCTCTGACGGCCCCGGACGCTTGCTCGAAATCTTACAGCCTTCAGCTCGGCGTCCCCCGAACTGAAGCGAACCACAAAAGGGTGCAAACAACAGGGTGAGGGCATGGTATAAGAAATGCTTGAGCAAGGAATCCCGGGTCTGGAAGCCAGTGGGAATCAAATCGTGGATCCGCTATGGATACCACGGCATAAAGAATAATCCAGGGTCGGAAGCATCCTGGGATCACTCCTTGACCATTAACCAACGCCCCCGCTCACCCCCGCAGCCCCGCGGCAAAACAGCACACGATGGCCATCAAGCTCGACGATATCATCGACGTCGGGTAGTACTGAGTCCCTCGGGCCAAGGGGAGCATCCCCAGGAGGGCCCTCGGGAAAAAAGTCCGCAAAGCTGAAGGCAATTTGGACAGCCTCGCTGCCGTGCAGGGGGGCCTGCTGCAGATCCCGATCCCTGCTGGCGCTCGGTGAATGTTGCTCCGAGGGCTTGCAGGCAGCAAAGCTGCCAGATCCAGACCTCATTTTGCGGAGACTGGCTGGGGTCCTCGCAATGGCCAAGCAGCACTTGCGCTGGTAGACCCCAGGACTCCGAACAACCACAACGTCGGGGCTTCCTCCTTCACAAGGTGTTGGGGTGGGCTCACTCACTCGCTTCTTAAGTCGGTCAGGTCTCCCAGGCGCAGCATCCCTAGAAATCAAACATTTGGCTGGATACGAGAAGAACAGAGCCTGCATCTTGGCGTCCTGCAATTTCGATAGATCACGAGGGTGTTTACGAGCGGGTGGCATTAAGCACCAAGACTGGAAAAGCGATGAGCCCACATGTTTCCCAACATGAGCCCCTATGGGATCCGAGACGAAAGGTGGAGGAAGAGGAGCGAAGGACAACGAGGATGATGACGACGATGCCGAGGATGAGGTGGCATGGATTGGGTTGGACTCGGTATGTTACCGTGGGGAGGAGCGCAACTTGGACCTCCAGCTCAGTGCGGGGGTAAACGGCGCCGCAAGCGCGCCCTACCCAATAAGCCGAAGGAGCCGTCTTCAGGCTGAACTTGCGGCGGCAGATGTTGAACAGGTCTTCCAAGGACGGCCCAAGCAGGTCCATCACCATGACATTGTAGTCTCCCTCGCACAAGTGGGAGTAGAAAAAGAAGAAGCAACAAACTGCATCATCATCAGAATCATCATCATCAGCATCATCATCAGCATCATCATCACCATCAGCATCATCACCATCATCAGCATCATCAACAATTTTCGGGAGCCGCGCGGATTTCTTGGATCGGCGCCGGGCCACCCTTTCCTGGCGCGCGGAACACCCCAGGGGGAGCGCGCCGGCAGGGGGGCCCAGCGCCAAACCGAGACATCCGACCGGACCTCCGAAAGCTCACGTGTGTGCAGACTGTTGCGTTCTCCTTCGGGGGAGGGAGCCGGGCCGCAAGCGCGCATCGCCCATGCACATCGGCACACCCGAAATCGGCACGGGAGCAGCGGACACGGTCCCATCAGCAAATCTTGTCCCAAGCCGCCAGCGGCCGCCGTTGGGCAGGCGGCACCGACCGCGAGTCCTGTCCAAAATGGGCAAGAGCTGCTGCTGGTCTTCGTCAACGTTGTTTCCGTGCCTCTTCCGCGACTCCAGAGCACAGGCATGCCCGCCCAGCTCCGCCCCACCTGCGCGCGGGAAGCGGGCTCTCCAGCACTTGCGGCCCTCTCTCGAAGACGTGCGGGGGCTGGGCCCACACCGCCGCCAGCGCTCACGCGTGGCCCGCGTACCCAAAGCCGCTGCCGTCTATCCGCGCAGCTTTCGCCCCCCGCCCTCCCCTCCACACCCCGGAAATCCTCGAGCGCCGACCCTCTGCCAGCCCTCCCTCTCTCCCGGATAGCACTGTCTGGGCGCAGTTCGTTGTCGCAAGGGTGCCCGTGTCGGGGGCGCGCAAACATGGATTAGCGATCCATGGATTTGGCGCGCGGCCGCCAAATACATGCATCGGGGGAGGTGCCCTCCCCAAAATGCGGCCGGTGCCGCCTCGCTCGGCGACGGAAGCCCGCGATTTCCCACGGAAACGGGACCCGTCGCGAATCCGCGCCCCCCTTGAGCCATGTCTGCGACCGCCGGACCGTGCTTCCGCCCTTGTCCGATGCCAGGTGTTATTTTTTCCTCTGGACAGGATTCGAACCAGTGGAGATCAGGCATCCAGCTTGCAGGAGGCCGCCAACCCTGTCTCGACGACGGCGCACCGGCAAGGGCCCTCCAGGCCTCCAGCCCGCGATGCCAGGTGCCTGTGGAGCAGGGCTGAACCTAAACGGTGTTTTTCGTTTCCGTTTTGTTTTCGTTTTCCCTCGTTGTGTCTTCAATCCGCCCTCAACGCAGAACGAAATCGAAGCGAAAGCGGCCCACGAAATCGCCAAAACACCGTTTAGGTCCGCCCCTGCTGTGGAGGGCGGCTGCCCGCCGCGCGAGCTGCGCCGCAGTGTGGCCGTGCGCGACGCGCTCCCGGCGCCGCGCCGCCGCGGAGGTGTTCCGCGGGCGGGCGCCGGCGGGGCGCACCGCCTTATAGCGCGGGTCCCGCCGAGGGCCCGCTCCGCGCGCCGCCTGCGCGGCCTCGCCGAGGGCCTCCTATACACAGCCCGATGCCCGCTGGAATGCGACAACCAACGCCTCGCACGAGACATCCTCGAAATCAGCACCGAAACCGGAAAAATGTCGGTCTTTTAAACAAGCAAACGGCCTGAGACATCCCCGCAATCTGGGCGCGAACGGAGGCCGTGCAATGCCCCTGGCGGCCGCCGCGGAGGTGCAGGAGGTGCCCGTCCGCTGCCCCTTCGTCGGCGGCGGCGCCCTCGTGGGCGCGGCGGCGCGGCGGGAGCTGGCGAGAGCGTGCGGAGGAAGTGTCATCTCGGAGGTGTACGTGGTCGACGTCGGGGCGGGTGCGAGCGCGTGTCTGGAGATGGTTCTGGTTTGGGAGATGGTTCTTTTGGAGGTGGTGCTGGATGTTTCGGAGATGGTTCTTTGGGAGATGGTTTTGGAGATGGCTCTTTTTGGAGATGGTTCTTTTGGAGATGGTTCTTTTGGTTGGTCAGGGTGCCCCGCGCGTGTGTTTTGGAGATGGTTCTGGAGGCCGCTTCTCGTCCGACCCTCGGCGAAGGCGGTGCGGAGCCAGCATAGCAGCCAGCAGAGTTGAAGATATGGTGAGCTGGGAGAGCGGGCGCAGCTCTGGCCGTCCCTCTCCTAGGCCCTAGGCTTAAGTCGGGCCTGTCCCCCTACAGGGGGATTTCTGGCGAAAAAATCTGAAAATAACCCAAAAAAGCTCCCAAATGGTCAAACATACGCACAAAAATAATCCCCATACTATTTTTTGACTATGTTTGAACATTTTCCCTGTAGAGGGACAGGCCATACCTAACCCTAGGCAGACTATTCCCAGAGCGGAGATCCTCTCTTTTTCGTGCTCGCGCTGGAACAGCAGCGATCTAGTTTCGTCTTTGTCACGGACCATCGGACGGTCGCGTCTGGACTCCCCTAGGGCCACGGGCTCCAATGAGGACCCCTGGGCCCGCGCCAGAGAAGCCTGGATCCGCCGCCAGCGCAAGGAGGTGGAGGCCATCTGGGCACCTTCACACTGGGACGAGCGACCAGAAGACCCAAGCTCACCCCTGCAGCTGTCTCTTGCATCGGTTACACGTAAGGGTGACCCTGGGTAAGAGTGACCTTTGGTGCGCGGCTCTTGGGGGGCCGCGGGGAGGCCGAATCCAGGCGCGCTAGCCGCTGCTACCGCTTCGCGTTCGGCCATCTGGGGGCCCATCTCTGCCCTCACCCAAAGGTCACTCCGGCGAAGTGTCACTCTTTCGTCTAGTCGATTGCAGCAGGTAACCCCGTCGCGGACACGTGGGCGCAAAACAGGGCTAGGATCGGGATAAATCGCTCCAGAGCGTTCCAGAGCGCTCTCAGAGCGTTCCGGAACGCTCCTCCAAACCTGTCGATTCTCAGAGATTTCGAGTTATCCCGATCCGATGTTGTCCCGATCTTCGCGTCGTTTTAGGAGGGGTTGGTCGGCAGGGCGCCTGACAAGGACCGGACCGACTCGGTGGCAGGGCGCTGACGCTGGCCGCCCCCCGTCGGAGACGGGAGGGCGAGCCGGCCGCGCAGCCCCTGAGGAGAGGTTGCCAACGCTATGGAGCGCACTCCCGGGGACTCCTCGCACCAACTTTGCCAGAGGCTCTCTGGCAGGTGGTGCTGCTCGAAGTGCGAGACGGCGGTCCCAGGCTCCAGACCGTGTCGTTCTCGCGGCCACCCATGTGCGAGGGACCCCCTGGAGCCACATCCCAGGGACCGAGGGAGTGTGTGCCGGCGTCGGGGGCCCAGCTCGAAATCAACCCGACGCATTCAGTCACGTTCGTCGCGCGGTGGTCGTTGCACATCTGCACGGCCTGCGGCAGGTATGCTACCGTCGATGCACGGTACCTCAGGAAGAGCTGCTTGGGACTCACTCCAAACGGAGTCGAGAACCTGCGTCGCATCGAGGAGAATTTGTTCCCTCGGCGGGAGGGGCTTCCCAAGGCCGCAGGCCTGGCCATCGCTGCTCGGGGAGGTCGTCATCTGGAGTCGTCGGACGGGGACGGAAGAGAGAGCGACGGCCAGACGGGAAGCACCCCCGCCGAGCCTCCTGAGGTCACCCGCGCACGCGTAGACTGGCGAGAGAGAGAGAGAGGCTCTGCGTCGGGAGGCCGAGGAGCAGCGTGTGCAGGCAATCGCCCTGCGCTTGCTGAAAGCGGCGAGTGGCTCCGATTTTGACGCGCGGGTGACCCAGGGGGGAGGTGCCTCAGAAGCGTCGGGCTGAAGTGTATTCCACCAGCAGTCAGCCCGACGCTACAGAAACAGAGGGGACAGTGGTCCGTAGGCAAATAATCCAAATAGTCCTACTCCTCCTCCCCCTCGTCCTCGTTCTCGGCGTTGTCCTTCCCCTCCCTCCCTCCCTTGTCCTCCTCGCCCTCGCCCTCGCCCTTCCCCTCCCCCTTCCTCCAACCCCTTGCCCTGCTAGACAGCTCTTCCCTGCCACACCCCGGGACGCGTCGGCAGGGCGGGCCGGGCATCTCGCAAGAGGCTTCCCCACCATGTCTGATCCCTGAGCTTGGAATGTGCGCCCACTTCACGGCTGGGGAGCGGGTCCCTTCTCAACACGCAGCAGCCTCAAAGATCGAGGGCGGGTCCGTCTCAAAGTGTGGCTCTCGCCGCAGCGCCGCGCGCATTCACACTGAAGGCACGCAGCAACTTCAAGGATGGAGAGCGGCTGGCTTTCAAAATGTGGCTCTCGGCATGACGCCACACACATATGTACTTATGGAAGGTTTGCAAAACGCTTCAATATTTTAACAGCTTCAAAGATGGAAGGTGGGTCTTGTCCAAACCGTGGCTCTCGCCTCAGTCGCGCACACCCGTCTGAACAAAAACACTTGCTTCATGGATGGAGGGCGGATCCCTTCCAGGATGAAGCTCTCGCCTGAGCCCAGCGCACAGTCGCCTTGAGCGTTTGCAGCAGCTCCAAGGAGTCGTACGGTTGGAAGGGTTGAAGTTCCAGTAGCGGCGCTCTGGCACGATGAAGGTTGCCAGGACGTAGCCGGAATGTTGATCCACGGTGTTGAATTCCCAAGCGTGGCGTTCTGGCGCGGTTCGGGATTGTCTGGACGCAACAGTCACGTTGGCACGCGGCGTTGAAGTCCCAGATTGCTTTTCGGCATGACGAAAGATTATCAGGCGAAAAATATTCCAATTGAGCGCTCCCCGAAGTTGTGAAAATAAAGTATGGGGCCTGTGAAGAAGGAACTTGGAGGGACAGCTTCTTCCAACATTGTTGATGCGTCGTGGGTTCACACTGGTCCTCCTCCTCCTCCTCCTCCTCCTCCTCCTCCTCCTCCTCCTCCTCCTCACTCTCATCCCCATCCTCCTCCCCTTCCTCGTCCTCCTCCTCGTCCTCGCCCACGTCTTTGTCGTTCCCCTCCCCTCCATCTCTTTTTCCTTATATATATATATATGTATATATATATATATATACATCGTTGACGAGGCATGTGAGGCGATTTGCTGTCTCCCCTCTCCATTCCCCCTTCCCCTGGGGTCCAACAACTTAT